TCATAGTCATGTTAACCTCGCTTTGTTACTTTGTTCATAGTTTTGTCATAGCCTTGTTTTGAACTTTGTAACCATCCACTCCGTTTGAGTGAGTTTTTTTGTTCCGATAAACCCCTGTTCCTGAATCTCTCCGTGCCTGAGTCCTCCCTAAGATCCACCCCCCCTGCCCACTCTGACCTGTGACACTGGTGCCAGGTCCAGCTCTCCCGGGTGGCCCGGGGCCGGAAGTCGGCCCGGCCCACGTTCATGATGCGGGAGGAGAAGCGCAGCAGGCGGCGGTGGCCGTAGGGCCAGTTCATCCGGGCCGCCGAGGAGGACAGGCAGTTCTCCTCGTTGGCGCAGGTCAGCAGGTGGAGAGGCCGGTCCTCCAGGTACGCCGTTTCCTGGACAAGCTGGGCGTCCACCACAAGGTCCGGAGCAGCTGCAAGAGCAGGAGTTTCATTAAAGGAAATCTCTCCAGTCCTCCTCAGCAGAAAGATCTTAACTTTATGCATTAATCAGATCACTTTTTGACTCATTTAACATATTTTCTAGCACAAGTAAGACCGACTTCTTTTCATATTTTGACAAGCGTAAACGAATGTGAATCAAATCTTTTCTTGTTTTCAAATAAATGAACTACAATCCATGCAGGGTGGTGGCACAGGCTGCGTGGGGCGTGTTTCTAATCATTAGAGGAAAAAACAACTGTGGTTGACATCCACCAGAAGAAAACCTTGAGTCCTTTCATCAGATATCTTTCATCTCTGAGAAGATGTTGGATGATGCATTGCATCAACTCGTTGGCAGCATCAGCAGGTTATCATCTGCTGGCTCGAACCGGAACTCAGATCCTTTTCATTCCACCTGACACGACCAGCAAAAGTGTGCCAGATGTTTGTCTATTTGTTCAGGAGAACAACTTAAACAGAGAGAAGTGGGGCACCAAAACCTTTACTTCAACCATCAGAAAAATGTGAAATCAAAAGACCATCTGATGGGACTCTCATTGCTTTTTGACTCAAACACTCATTTTGAGCCATGTATGAACTGATCAGAGTATGTGTAGACAACCCACCGCCAGCATTTTATTTACTAGTATAAATCTGGAGAGACCACCAACAACAACAAAGCTCCAAATCCAGCTTTATGTGGTTCCCCGGGACCCCTGCATACTTCCGGAGGTCCTCTCTACAGCCACAGCCGTTCGTTTTTTTGCCTGTTTCGGACTCACCCTCCACACAGGTGACCCCCGCCGCCCGGCCGTCTCCCCCTCTGGGACAGTAGACCTGCGGGTTCCTGCGGCACTGCTGGATGGACATCTCCGTGCCGATGCAGTGGGTCCCGCTCAGCATCACCTCCCCGGCGTCCGACGACCCGGGCCAGAACCAGGTCTCCTGTGAGGGCAAACCAGAGCCAAACGCGCATTTGTACACACAGTCACTGGGCTTATTTTGGTTTTTAAAGACTTCTGGCACCTCATGAAGCCTTCTGTAAAAAAAAAATAAAGAAAAAAAAAGAGCTCAGGCCGTATAACAGCCTCTGCTGTAAACGCTGGATCCCTTTTTTTATAGTCCCTATCAGTACACATTATCACATTTTCCACTCTTATTCACGATTTTAAAACGACTTGTTAAATGCTCCCAGCTCCCCCATCCCACCCCCCCACCCACCGAAAACATTCAAGCTGCCTTTTTTCCATGCACGATTCTATTTTCAGTTTGTTTGCAGAGTGAATTTCCCCCCCGAGCTCTGCTCGCCTCACTTTCCCTCTTTTATTTTGGGTGCACTGGAAGTGGACACACGAGAGGCCTGTAATTACCCGGGGCCTCGGTAATAACACAGCACAGGCTCACCAAACGGCAGCGCGGAGAGAGGGGAGGAAATACAAAATACAGGAGCACAAAGAACAAAAGTTCAGATGCGGAAACGTCAGGAAAAATAAAAAAAATAAAAAAAGGAATCAAATATGCAATGAGAGGATGTACAGACCAATTTTTCCAAAAATGGCATTGTTTTCTTTCTTATTTTTCAGATTTGGAGCTCCTACCTAACTAAATATGTGTGCCTGTTGCTGTACTTTACTGATCTTTTTTTTTACATTGATTCTTATTAGTATTATTATTATTAATCTTATTTTTCTGCTGAATACGTTGGACTGAGACAGGGTGGGAATGGGGCGTGTTGTTCTCTTCTTTTATTGTTCTTATTTTGTTTTGTTTTTGTTTTTTCTATATGTAGTAGGTGTGACTACTTCAACATTTATACTTGTATGTATATAGTAGAAGTTATACCTGAACAAGTATGTTAATTAAAAAAAAAAAAAAAAAATAAAATTTATTCCTTATTGTTATTATCATTTTTTTAAATATAAATATTTTGAAAATAAATATCCTTATTGGTATTATCTTATCATTTGTTTCAATAAAAATTATTTGAAAAATAATGAATAAATAAAAAAGGACCGGGCTTTTACCTGGTGGGCGGTGGCGGCGAAGCCCAGCCCCAGCTGCCTGCAGACCACCATGGCCTCGTTGAGCCCCCAGTTCTCACTGCACACCGACCCCCAGCGCCTCGCCCCCCCCACCTCCACCAGCACCTCCACGCGGCCCTCCGCACGGTCCCGGCCCCCCGCCAGACGCACCTGGATGGGAAGAGAGGGGGATCCCCCCGGTCAGAACTGGAGCTCAGACGGGGGGGTTTGAGTGTGTGTGTGTGTGTGGGGAGGGGTTTAGTTTAGTTTAGTTTAGTTTTATTAGGATCCCCATTGGCTGCCAAATAAATGGCCACTAGTCTTCCTGGGGTCCTCACATGAAAAAATTATATTACATTATAAACAGATCATAAAAAACAAAAATAAAAATCACAGTAGGAAATCATAAAAACATAAACAAGAGTAGAACTATACAACATATATACACAGGTCAGTTCATCTTATCATTTGCAGTAGTTCTGAAGACACAATATTTTTTAAGCTTGTTCTGCTCTGAACTCTTCGTGTGGTTATTGGCAGTTTGTTCCAGTGTAATATATGGCTCTATAATGTGGATTTTAGAGAGTTTGTTCTGGGTCGAGGGAGTTTAAAGTCTCCACCTCGTGACCGCCTTGTTAAGTAATTATGATTTTGTTCAACAAGGACTAAGTGTTCAGCAAAAAATGAGGACTGAGGAATGAGGACAAAAAGAAAACATTCCATATAAATAAGAGTGTGTGTGTTTCTCACGGTGGCCTGGGTGCCGGTGTTGGGGACGTTGCAGCGGACGGCCACGTCTTGGCTGTGTTTGCAGGTGTAGAGCGGCACCGGTTTGTGGTTACACTCTGTGATGGACTTCTCCTTGCCCGTGCACTGGACGCTGTTCATGTGGATGGGCCCCGTACCTGTGGAAAAGGGGGGACACCACGGAGCGGATTAAAAACCCGGTGGCTCCCCACAGAAAGGGGCTCGAGCCCCAGATGTGCTCCTCTCATGTGGCTCTGCTTTACAGACAGGAATAGATTCCGAAATGGCAAAATGGAGGAAAATCATTCATCACATGTGTGTTTATGTAGGTGTACGAAGCCCAGGCTGTTGCCTGCAAGGGCCCTATAATTTGGCCTTAAATAGCTAATGATGTCATCCAGCCAAGATTCAAGCTGTCTTCTGACTGCACAACCCACGAGCTTTCACTGCTCATAAACTGGTTCGAGACACAAAAAGCTCCATTCTGACACTCGAGTGTGTTCCTTCTTCAGACAATATCACCTAGTTTAATAGAACCCTAAAAGTAACTGAGATGCTTTCCACGAATTATTCAATTAAGAAAAGTAGAGACAAGGAAATGAACCCACCATTAAAGGACGTGGTATGTACTCATTTGGGCGCAAACATAATGGGAGGAAATTAACCTGATTACAGAGCTACTTCTGAGGTATGGCGACAAAAAAAAAATGAGAGCGATTGAGTGTGAGAAAGTGAGGTCTGAGCTGTTTCCTCCGAAAAATGTTTACTGTACTGTACACTTCCTGGTTCAGCAGCCATATTTTCTCACCCAGACCAAAAGCATTTCCTGAAGAATTACATGTGAGTGTTTGCTCACACTCGGTGCTGATTGCCTGGGATCCTGGCTTCAAAGACACAGATAACTTTACTCATTGACTGAGTTTATTTTGCCAGCATCACATGCTATTGTTTTGGCCGCTGGACTCTCCTAGCTTAGTTTACACTTCTGTAATTGGTCATGGGTAGAGTTCCACAACAATCTGCTGCCGCGATAGAAGCAAGAGTCAGGCTGTAATCATTTTCTCTGAGTTTATTTGTCAGCTCAGATGCATGGAGTTGGAGCCGTGCCCTCAGAAACAGTCGTTTAGACTGAGAGGTGTTTAGTCTAAAGCAATGACTGAATGAAACCGTTCATACTTCAGATGCATGATGAACTCAACCACTGGCTCAAAGCCTGTGAGCTTTATTATAAACCGGGTATCAAATCGATGGTCCGTGTATTCTCTGTATGCTTTATGAATTAGGTTATCGTCCAAAAGACCCAGCCTGTGTGAGCACGTCCCACAGAAACCTCCCAAAATCATTAAGAGCTGAACTTTAAATCAGTCTCTGAGGAGCACCAGAATAACTCCCCAGTCCAATCGCCCAGCATGTGTGTGGCTTTCTTCTGATGTGGCCCGGCTTACCCTGTCCCAGCTGAGCCTTGGTGAGCGCCTCTTTGGCCGTGCCGAAGCCCAGCTCTCTGCAGACCACGTGGGCGGCCTTCAGGTCCCACAGGTGGTCGCACACCGTGCCCCACTTCCCCTCCTTCAGCACCTCCACGCGACCCTCTCCGACACGGGGCCCGGCCTTCAGACGCACCACGGGCTGGGAAGCAACGAGGAGGGTTTTGGTGAGAAAAGCAGGTTTGTGGGATGATCGAGTTTGTCTGGAGACCAATATGCTTAAAACTGAATGATTAAATAGATCAGCAAAAAGATTTTATTCTTGAAATGTATCATAGCATTTCTTTGGGTCAGAACTCCATAACATGCTGTGCTCTTAATAAAGAAAATGTATATAATGTATAATTTATATAATATAATATATACTTATTATAATGAATATATCACTGTTTATGTACATTTTTGCACCAGATTTTTCATTCTAAAACTGGAACAGGTGAAAAATACCTTTAGATTTGATTGATTTGACTAATTTTCATACTCTACATTCATTGTTTTCACAGTTTTTAGCTGAGACCTACAGTGACGACTAACAACTTTTGACTTTTTTTTTTACAAGATTGGCAGATTAGAAAGGAGTATAGATGAAGAAGAAAGTTTATGTCATGTTGGACCCATTTAAACTTCCAAAAATGTGGCAGGTAGAGGAGACTCCCATTGAAAAGTCATAAGGTCTCAAGTGGACAGTATAAGAATATCAGGACAGTATTTCATTTCCAAATGTTTTGTGAAACAGACGCATCTTACACTCAACTAAATCGACTCACATCACAGAAACAAAACAAAATGACACACTAAGATTTTAAATTAATGCCAATAATGTTTTCTTTTTGATGGACACTTCATTGTACACATGTATTATCTGAAGCTCACAGTTAAGCACAGACTGTTCTGTTCGTAGAGCATAAACATTTGAGAAAACACATTGCTAAAGTAGAGCGTAGGGAGGATGCTCAAGCTGTGGAGGAAATATGGAAAAGGAGATGTTCATGATATGGACAAAACATATTCTAGCTGTACGTCTGGAGGGAGACGGCCTGGTGGAGGACCAGAAAAGGTTTATGATACGGATAAAACCACCTGGATGAAAACAGCCAAAACGTAAGACAAAAAGTACAGATACGGGATACCAGATACAGTGGGGGAAATAAGAATTTGACCCCTTGCTGATTTTGCAGGTTTGCCCACTTACAAAGAATGCTTATTTTTCCTCATCAGATGGTTATCATTTTTTATAAATTCATATGATGTGACTTTCTGGAATTTTCTTTGGGATTCTGTCTTTCACTGTTAGAATGTACATATGATTAAAGTTATAGATCGTTGCAAACCTGCAAAATCACCAAGGGGTCAAATACTTATTTCCCCTACTGTATAAGGGCAGGGGCACCCAGAGTGGGCCATAGTTTTCTCTGAGATCTCTCCAGACTTGATGCATCAATCTGGGACCTGGCTGACAGGAAAACCCTCTTTTATTCCACCAAGTTCTGCCTCGGCAGTTTTTCCTGCAGCAGTTACTTGAATATGACCATCCCATAACCCCCCCACAGACTCACGGGGACAGCAGGGGGCGGGGGGGCCCTGCCTGGGCGGGTGAACTGGGACCCGGGGACACAGCGGACCACGGCGTGCATGCCCCCCCTGCAGGGCGCGTCGCTCCTGGGGGAGGAAATCTGGGCGTGGCACTGGGACAGGGACGCCTCCACACCCTGGCACTGCACCCGCTCCACCCAGTAGGCTTTCTTACTGATCAGAGCCCTCAGCCTGGGGAGAGAGGGGGGAAGAATGAGCCGTGAGAGAGTCCGGTGAGTCGTCCCCAGATCAGGTAAAAAACGCAGGTATGGCTTTTACCTTGATGACGAATCGGCTAATTTGGAGTCCCACAGTTTCCTGAAAGACAGAAAAACAGCAAACTTGAAAATAAAGAAACGTAACCCTTTAAAGCCTGATCCAAGAATAAAACAAAACAGAAAATTACTTTGTTTTTGTTTGAATTCCTTATTTGCCCTTTTAAGAATATATGTAAAAGAAAACACAGAAATACATTTTTGATATTATTAATTTATTACTAAGTCAAGATTATTTTTTGTGTAGTCTAGTTATCAGGTGTATCTGAATGTGTACAATCGGATTTAGAGCAAAGTTTTTACCATTAAATTACGCAAAAGGTGTCAGATGCAAAACATTTCAGAAAACATATGAATCAAATATGATACATTTGGCATTATAGGGTTAAACTACATATATGAACCATTGCAAAGCATGCTGGGAAACACAGTGCCAATCTTAGCCCTCAAGTTAGAGACAAAAAGTTGGAAGAAAGACAGATTTCCAGTATTGGGTCACAACTCTTTTTCTTCTTTTCTTTGCTCCCTGCCAGACCATCCCCTTTTTTCATTTTTAGATCTTCCATTCATGCGTATTTCTGTTTCACTGTTTGTCTTTAAGTCTGCAGTAAATGTCTGTTTGAGGCATCCATGTGGAAAAACCTGACAGTATGAATAGGCCACTATACATTAATCCCTGTCAGAAGTCACGTTGGAGTCTGCCAACTCCAACAGGGCTGTCTAAACCGTGTCTCATTTCATTTGTATTTCCTCGGACTGGAGTCCCATCCAAAGGGGAAATGGTGTTTATACACAAAATGAGGCCCCAGGAGCATGGACACTACTCCCATGCATGCTCACAGTGGAGGTGACCACTTGCATAAGCCAGTGTGACCACAGACAGGTGCAGCCTCGGCCTTTATGAACGAGCCTGAATAAAATGAGTCAGAACACTGAAAAGAGGAGTGTTTATTGTGCAACCAGAGTCATGAGGCATTTCAATATTTGGCAAGCTAAAATGAGAGATGCTTCCATGCCAGGAAAACCCAAATATCCCGGCATTTCACCAAATATTTTGTAAATGTCTTATAGATTTCCTGTTGAAACAAAGGAGGAATCCTAAACCAAAAGAAATTACTGTGCCACAGACTGTTTATAATAAAATAAAACCGTAAAAAAAAGTGGACAGAGACTTCCCAATCACATTGAAATGTGTATTGTCACATTTTTCCTGTTTCATGATCCATTCCAACAGTGAAAAAACTGTATTTTTCTGGTTTTACATTGAGAGATTTTTCTTAAAAAGGCCAATTTTTGATTCTTTTTGGTTCTAACTGACATGTCTGATGTTACATGATGAAAATGTGTGCGACGGTTAAACTGACATGTGAAACATAGATGTGCTTTGCAGGAAACACCAGATTTATAGCTTTTCCTCTCTGGTACATGCTTCCAGCTCAAAATTTTGTTTCCGTGGGATCATCCCAACCAAGTCGACCGCGGATACGTGGCCTGTAATCTTAGGATGTTTAAATACTGAGGAACCAGACTAAAGTGTGCATCTTATCAGCCTGGAAAGATGCAAACAAATCTCCCATCACAAGCAGAAACATCTTCCGTATGCACACATTCGTTTTCCTCTCCGTTAATGAGCTGAATCTTTGATCCGTCTGTGTTTATGTGCCAAGTGCTGACATGTCTCCCATGCATAATGACCACTTCCCAGTCTTCATATGTCAGCAAATGCTTTTTGGCTTCTCTCCGTTGTCACCCATTTAAATTCAAAATAGAATTTTTAATTCTACTCCTCGCATTTAAAGCTCTTCATTAACCAAGCTCCATCGTATTTTAGAGAGATCCCAGTTGGATACTTCCCGGCAGAGCCCTTTGCTCTCAGACTGAAGGTCTACTTGTGGTTCCTGAGTTTCTAAAAGTAAAAATGGAGCCCTCTCTGTGGAACCAGCTGCCCGTTTGGGTTCAGGAAGTAGACCCCCATCGACCTATAAGATTAGCTTCAAACTTTCCTTTCTGATAAAACTGAGCTGCCATACTGATACTGGTCTTCTGTTCCTCTTCCCTCTCAAACCACAGCTGGTTGAGGCAGATGGCCGCCCTCCCTGAGTCTGTTAAAGGGGGATTGTTGCTTTCCACGGGCGCCACCTGCACACTTTTTGTCGGGGTTTCAAGTTTTGGTCCAATATGCTAGTGTCAACTTTGTGTGTCCTGTTTGTGAAAACATGTTTTTTTTCATTGGCTCTGTATGAACTGGACTCATTTTGAATTGACTGAATTATGACTGTATTGCATTGGACTTTTCCATTTTTGGTGCCATTACATTAAAGGTGAATCTAAAGCCAGTCTTCTATGCTCTCACGTTTTGAGTGTCTATTTTTAGCTCTGCATACGACAAACACGTGGTTCCAGTTAAAACACCCTCACACACTCTACAGGTTATATGTGGTGATTCCAAACTACATCAGCACTACCCAGCTTTTATTCATCCCTTCAATCTCTGCTGTTGGTTTTCTCTCATGCCTTAGACGATGCTTTTAATTCTCCCAATTAGCTGCCTGTGAGGGTCCTCCTTGTGTGAGTGTATGAGCACGGTTTAAAGTGCGCGCTATTTAAAGTGTTATACAACACAGCGGTAAATCAAAATGAGAGACGCAGACCATGAGGGGGTGTTAGTTCATGGCTTGGAGGCGGAGGGGGGAGTGTTACCCATATAATTGCCTGCTCTGCTTGGCAGTGTCTGCTTTGCGGTGCAGCAGTAGCATGTCGGTTCACACACACCAGACATGAAAATATGCACGTACATATCTGCTCTCCCTGCCTCGTCTCTGGAAACACAAAGCTCTTTAAAACCAAACCAGGGCCCTTGCCCAACGCTCTGAGCTAGCTGGGAAACACGGGCTGAGTGATGTAAGACCGATGCCTCCAGCTTTTTATGAGGATTGGCCAACTTCACAGGAAGACAAAAAAAAAAGACTTTTCGGGGTTTGTTTCTCAGACATGCTTCAGTTGTTTTTCTGAGAGTTAACAGCTGAACAGCAGAACAGATCCAAACTTGTTTGAGGCTGTTTTGATTCAGAGGACAGCGAAAATCATGAAAAAAAAACTGCACGAAACTGCTACTGAATCATTTGGACCGAGAAAAAACATTTTATAGCATCTTCAACTCGGCGCTGGGGTTTCTGCAACTCTGGCTACACAATACCAAAAACCACATTGAAAAAAAGGAGCTGACTGTCAGGAAAAGCGAGATAACCTGTTATTAAAGGCCACTGCGTGAAAGCTGAGAGCTCCTCGGTGGAACAACTGGCCCATCAGCCTCCACACGGACTCAACTCAGCCTCCACGAAAGGGAGAAAACTCAATGGGGTCGTAATGATGTACTTTCCATGAATAACTGGCTTTAGAAGACCGGCCATAAATGCATTAAACTGGGCCTTAAAAAGGTTGTAACGGAGGGGGGGGGGGGGGGGAAAAACGGGGGGGGCAACAGGAGGTTGGGGCAACTGAAGAAGTTACTGTCAGCCTCAAAGAGAATGAATGTGATGAAGTAACAATGGAGCTGGAAAATGAAGTCAGCATTTGCCTTTTGTGTTCAATCCAACGTAAGGGGGTGTTTCAACATCTGCGAAAACGCACAGGGCCACTTAACAGGCAGAGACAAAGGCAGCCACTCCGAAAGAAGAAAGCACAAGAAAACAACACGCGGACGGAGAGAGACGTGCTGAATCAGCAAAGGGTGTGCGACAGGTTCAGCTGAGAGAATATTCTGGATCCGGGGATTTCTCAGACCATAATTATATCTGGTGAAGAGCACATAACCCCCAAAACAGATCAACAGACCTTCAACAGAAGGAAGATGGGACGTGACGCTGTTATGAAACACGGTTCCATTGGTTCATATTCTTATGTTGTAATCTTTTCTTTTTAAAAACTTTCAAAGAAATGTGAACCAATGGAAAACCTTTCCTTTCCTTCATTGATTGAGGCTCATGACAAAAACCCATTGCAGTCCGGACCAGAGTGTAACTAAACTAACTCTGGTAATAAAATCAATAAAACTCAAACTGCTTTCTCAAAAAGGGATTTAATTTTAGATATCAAAATGTCGGTGAGAAGCTGGTGAGAAAAACTCAGGTCTGTATGTCAAAAATGAACTGATGTTATTCATGACTTTCAGCACGATACTGAAACTGTCTGCACTGATCCTTGTTAAAAACACAAACATTAAAAATTGTTTGTCTCAGTCTGTGAAAAGCTGTATATTATATTAACTTTTAAACATCTAAACATACATTTAGTGGAATACCAGATGCTACCAGTTGCCATTTTTGTGCATCTCAAACCAGAGAATCTCAGCATAGCCAATCACATCAGGCCGATCTGTTACCACTGGCATTTTTCTACTAACACATTTCTATGCATCTGTTTACTACAGGAAAGAAATACCTGCCTCAGTCCACTCCCTCATAGGTGGTTGGAGGTTGGCAAAAGACAAACATTCCTGGCCTTGTTCACTCTTTACACAGGTTGCTGGCCGGGTTCTCGGTAAAGAAATGTGATGTTTCTCCAGACAACTCTGAGGTGTTTTTTTAAGGTTGTTGTTGTCTGTGTTTGCTTTGGATTTGATTTGAGAAAATGAGAAAATCAAACAGGGCCGTGTTTTTAATAGTAACCCAAGCATTGACCTGAAAAGGCTGCAGACTGACCTGAAAGGAGCAAAGATAAAGAGATCTCAGAGAGCTTCATCTAACCCCAATGAAGTTCCAGGGAAATGAGACATTTGGGGATTAGTTTTTGCCAGATTAGTGAGCTGAGGAGAAGAAGCTTTTTTGGCCTCCTGCTGAGCAGATTGATGCACGTAGTCCTGCCTACCGAGGCCTCTGTGGGCAGACACCCACAGGAGGTTGTGTGTGTGTGTTTGCATAAATTTTAGACGCTGTGTGGGACGCGTTAGCACCAGCGAGGTGTTGGGTTTGTGAGAGCTTTGAAGGTCAGCGTGGGTGCTAAAATGTCCAAAGTTAGCTTATTAACAGTTCCGCCCTTAAAAGTCAACACAAACATCGTGAGTAGTGCGAACGATTTCCGTTTGAGGCCAAAGAAAGAGAAGGTTCAAAGTGCTTCTTGTCTGTACAAGCAGGTATTCTGCAGATCGTTGTGGAGTTTAACTGGAATTAGCCTTTTTTTTCTCTTGTCACCGAATTGAATCGAGAGTCTTTAGCAGCTTCAGCTTTCAAAAGCCGGAGAAACGCTCCTGCACACAGTTTTAATTGCAGGCCTCTAAATGACATAGGATTAGACGCTACATACTGGAAGGCAGGTTTCATGCAAAGACGCATGATGATGATAATCTTGTAGTCTGGATCTGACATTAATGACATATTCTTCAGGACTATTTTAAAGCCATCCGGAGGCCCACTCAGCCAATGGGGGGAGACGGACCTTTTTGGACATGGAAACGACGTGCCAACTGTGGTGATGACCGCAGTTTTGGTTAACCTCTACTACAGGTATGCTGGAAAACTAATCCAGGCAGAAGTTTGGCTAACCTTTGGCTCCCCCCCCCCCCCCACACTGACCTGTAGGGGGCGCGGTCCAGCTGCTCTGCAGCAGGAAATCCCAGCATGCCGCAGGCGACCCGGCTGCTGCTCAGATCCCAGCCCTGGTCGCACACGTGACGCCACTTCCCAGCATGCTTCACTTCCAGCACCCCCTCCGTCACCAGAGCCCCGTGGCCCCCGGACAGCACGGGCCGGAGACGGACCTCCTCCAGGGGAACCCTCTCAGATCCCTGTAACCGAGAAAAAACACCTTATGTTAAAACAGAGTTCAGACACTGTGATTTTCATTAATCTTATACAGTTAAGTTAATTCAATAGTTCATATAATTGTATTCTATTTAATTCACGACTACATCTTTAAGACATTTAGTTGAATCTGCTTTGCCTTAGTTTAGATTCTCATTGGTCTGTTATCACTGTCCACCAGAGAGACCACGTTATGTTAAAACAGAGTACAGCAACTGTGATTGTCATTAATCTTGTAAAATGAAGTTAATTCAGTAGTTCATATAATTATATTCTATCTAATTCACGACTACATCTTCAAGACATTTAGTTGAATCTGCTTTGCCTTAGTTTAGATCGTCATTGGTTTGTTTTTAGTAATGTGAAAAAAACAAGGAAGCGTGTTTGTTCTCCAAAGTTGGAATAAGACAGAAGAAAGCGTGGTCGGAAAACTTGTCTCAATCCTTTGGGATCCAGCCACCATTTAATCGAACCCTCAGTTTACAATCTTTTTGCCTTCTGCATGAACAAATGTTTTTTTCTGATGTGCAGTGCTGGATAAATGCAGGATAATAAACAAGACCACGGCTCTCAACACTTTGTCACAGAGTTTAAACAATCAGCGTCAGACAGCACGCAATTAAGACAAGAATGACTCTGAGAGGTAACACCCTTTAATCAACACACTCTCTAATCATCCGTATTCGTGCTGCCAGCAGCCGGAAGGAAACCTTCATTCTGTCATGATTAGAAAAATAGTGAGAAATGGTGACGTCTGTAAATTGAGAAGAACACACGCAGGAATACAGAAGGGATGAACTGTTGAATTTGCTCTAATCTGAGATGCTTCCTGTGGAGGAGCGGGTGGTTGGGCTAAACTCCGGGCACATGGGCTGGATCTGGAGAGGCTCTGGTTTTAGGAGTGTCTCTAATTACACGTGCCCTCTGGCCTGTGGCTCCACAGAGGACATTTCTACACCAGTCTGTACAAAACCAGATTGGGTGTGTTGGTTGGTTCGGTGTGTGTGTGTGTCTGTGTGTGCGTCTCTACCTGTCAGAGATGTTCAGTAACGAAGTAAAACTACTTAAGTACTTTACTTAAGTACCAAAATGCAGTATCTGTACTTTATTGGAGTATTTATTTTTTTCCCTACTTTTACTTTTACTCCACTACATATTTTGGATTAATTTAATACTTTTACTCCAATCGATTTTTCACGGGCTGAATCGTTACTGGTTACTGATATGTAAATGTAATGATAGATAGCTCTGTCAGGGTTTGGGAAGCTGGCTCCTCATTGGGCGATTTGAGCCATCAAGCATAGCCTATTAAAAAAAAATAAGCCTCCAGAAAGATTGAGAAATCATGGCCTTCAAAAGTTCCCCATCTAATCTGACGAAGCATATCAAGGTAAGTTAAAAAATACAATGACATATAAGCTAGTAAATAAGCGCTAGTTCAGTTCTCCCTGTTCACTCAGGACGTAGCAGCTAACGTTAGCTAAAGCTAAGCTAGCTGGCTAGCTGTATGCTACATGTTTGAAAGAATATAAACAATATCTATCCAACTTTTGACTGCCTTTTTTAATATACGCAGTACTTTACTTTTACTTATACTTGTACTTTCAATATTTGAGTAGCAATTTTTGAAATACTTCTACTTTCAATACTTAAGTTAAAAAAAAGGGAGTTCCGTACTTCCACTTAAGTATGGTGTTGAAGGAATACTTCTACTTTTACTCAAGTCAGTTTTTTTACACAGTACTTGTACTTTTACTTATACTTGTACTTTCTATACTTGAGTAGCAATTTTTGAAATACTTCTACTTTCAATACTTAAGTACAAAAAAAAGGGAGTTCTTCCGTACTTCCACTTAAGTACGGTGTTGAAAGAACACTTCTACTTTTACTCAAGTCAGTTTTTTTTACATAGTACTTGTACTTCTACTCCACTCCTCTACTCCAGTGCTTTATACATGTTTATGTGTTTATGTTTATGTTTATGCATTTGGCAGACACTTTTGGATGGCCGCCCACCCTGAGCCATGGTTCTGCTAAAGGTTTCTGCCTGTTAAAAGGAAGTTTTTCCTTGCCTGTGTCGCCTAGTGCTTGCTCATGGTGGGAATTGTTGGGTTTCTGTAGTTAACTTCAGAGTAGGGTCTGACCTGCTCTGTTTGGAAAGCGCTGTGAGACAACTGTTGTTGTGATGTGGCGCTATAGAAATAAAATTGAATTGAATTGAATTGAACTTTTATCCAAAGCGACTTACAGAGTAGACTCAAATATTACATTTCTCATCACTATGACAATAAGCTATACAGAGGAGAAACACTGATCAGAGTCAGTGGTGAGATAGAGATAGAGGTAGAGGGACTACAGAAGGAGTTGTGGTATCTCTGGTACCTGTGTGTGCTGAGCGTCGGTTTCCGGCTGAACCGGGTCCGGTTCCACGTGGTTCCCGCTGAGCTGCTGGGGCCTCTGCGGGGGTCTTTCGGCCTGCTGCTGCTGGGGGCCGGCCCGAGCCGTGTACGGTTCCTGCCTCGGCCTGTAGGAGGCGCCGTTGGCCAGGCGCGCGGGCAGCTGGTGGCCCCGGGGCAGCGGGGGGGCGGCCCCGCCCCGGTTCCTCCGCAGGATCTGGATCTGGTGGCCGTTCTCCTGGGGGGAGAGGCCTCCCCGGCGGGGGGAGGCGGGGTTCCGGTGCAGGGCGATCTCGTGGCCCCTGGAGAAAGAGGGTCCGGGGGCCGGGGCGGGGGGGGCTGGGGGGGGGGGGGGCCGGGGGGGGCGGGCTGGGGCTCGGTTTGCCTTTGCTGAATCGGCTGAGGTCTGGAGGAGGCCGGGGTCGGGTCGTCTAACGAGGCGGGGGGGAAACCGGGACGCCTCTCCGGGCTGCAGATGACCCCCAGGTCCTCCCCGTGGGTGCAGTCGTTCACCCCCCAACCGTTGGAGTGGCACTCAGCGACGGAGAGCTCCGTCCCCTTACAGCGCACGTTATCTAACCAGATGAGACCTGAGAGGACAGGGAAGGAGATAAATCAATGAAAAAGAATGGAAAAGGTGATTAGGAGTTTCCTGCTGCCCCCCCACCCCCCTTGGTTCCTACTCTGCTACAATTACAGCCACTGTTCATAGTCTTATTGCTGTCATTATCATTAGTATCAAT